AGCTACCCCACAGCACCCCCTAGAGAAAATCTCTGGCGCCGCCACTGAGAGAGAGAGATTGAGCGAGGCAGATAGCGTGTGCAGTGGTCTGCTTGCGCAGAGAGCAGGAGTTTGTGAGAGAGCCGGCTTGAGAGTCAATTTCTCTTCAAAATATAATTGATTGCCAGCCTCCCTTGTCCCTGGCTGGCTTGCTAGCTCGTTGGTAACGTAACTGATTTCTTCTAATGTGCCTGCATCTGGCGCTGAGTTGCCATATTCCTTTCATGAACCACTTCCTGATATCCATTGTTGCAGATAAATATAAATGATAATAGCCAAACTAACCTAGCAAGAGTAAACTGGCAGGCTGCTGTGCCGCATCTCCCTCACAAACCCACACGACTCAACCCAGCGAAAAACCAGTCTCGCGCGCAGCCTTTCATTCAGAATTTCATTCAGAATTTCATAGCAAAATAAAAAAATGATATTAAACTAATCTTTCAACATAGTTTAAAACAAAAATAAATATTAGGACGGAGCCCTACAAATAACGACCATAAACATAATAATAAAACAATTAAAATGTTGTATTCAGCCCTGATTAAAACTGTGGGCCCAAATCCTGGATGGTTCACAGTTTATTTATTTGTATTATAATATTTATTGGGGGAGGGCGGGAATGTGAAATGGGAGGGCCCTGGCCTCTCAACACACCATGTCCATACATTCCTCTTTGCAAACGACAGAACGGACCGACTTGCATAGAGTTGTGTATTCAATACATTGGTTACTTTCCAAGCTTAAGTTCTCTGGTCTTAACTCTTGATAAGGCTCACAATGTCCATGTGGTATTTTACTTTACACTGTAAGCTCAGCTACACTTTTGTTTTGAAAGTTGTAACCGGAAGCGCTATAAGGCTTGAGTCTCGCGGAGACGAACTTTTGGTGGACTGTGAACTCGCGACGAGATGAGTCCGACTGGCCGTGGGTCTTTCCTGTACTAACGTTTAACTTTCCTTCCTACCACCTCTTAAGTTAATATAGTGAGAGTCTCCCCTGTTCAGAGGTCAAATGAAAGCTGTAATTCTCGCCGCCGGGTACGGAACCAGGCTCCAGAGGGACGTGGCTGCCGACAGCAGCGGGAGGTTCGCTCACCTTGCTGGGACCGCCAAGCCGCTGCTGCCGGTGGGCCGCGGAGCGCTGCTCTCTCTCTGGGTCCGAGCCCTGACCGCGGCTCGCTGCGTGGACTGCATCCATGTGGTAGTGAGTGATGTTAGCAGAACAAACCACATATGTTTACTCAATCATCTCTATGGAATGGTTGAAAGTTACATACATTTATGAAAAAATACTGTAGGCTACTTAAGTAGGTAGGCTATTGGGGTATACGTAGTTTCTTTTAATGCTAGATTTCACTTTTATAACTATATTAGATAGTATTGTTATTTTAAATCCACTGCATTTATCTCACATCTTAAGTTCATTCACGTCAAATATATTAATACAAGAAAATGCAATTATGATATATATTATAACTGATTAAATTATGGTAGGAAATCCACACCCAGCTGTAGCCAAAACAGTTCAAATCAGCTCCAGTGATGCATCAATAATGATAATAAAACTTAAATGTATACATTTCTATTTAAGGTCTAATTTTGCTTAATGAGTACCTTGTATTATTTTAATATGTGTTAATGCTAATATGTTTGTATGTCATACATGTATGAATATAGGACTTATGTTTACAGAGTATTCATAATCCGTATTGTCTGTATTATTTCTTTAGACCTGATGACCTGAGTATCAGCTGTTGTACTTTCAAGTAACTTAGCATATTAATATATTTAAGCAAACATCATCACATTTGAAATAGGATGCGTTGTTAAAAAATAACCAAATACCAAAGAGTAGGCTATATAAATATATAGCTGTTGAAAAGAGTCATTAGTAAGCATCAACCTACATATAACCAATAACCTACATATTTGAGGAAAATCTAAAATCAGCCATTCTACATAATGCTTTTTCTTGAATTATCTGTATTGCTCTTTAGTACATATGGCATGATGCCAATAGAAATGTTTGCATCATGGATCGGTGATGCTGTTCCTAATAATGCAGTTTGAAGCCGACCTGAGGACGACCTCGCCACTCATCCCTTTCTCTCCACAGACCAACGCTGTTTACCATGCTGCGTTTGAAGAGTGGGCATCACATTTCACAAATGTCAAGATTCTCAGCGATCAGACGACAAGCAATGAAGTAAATATCATTTTAGAAATAATGCCATGCTTTGTCCCTGCCTCTCTTCTACAGCATCCTCTGCCTCTCTCCTTCCACAGGGCCGCCTCGGGGCTGTGGCCTGTCTGCAGCTGGCCGTCAAGCACTTCAACATAGAGGACCATGTCTTAGTTATTGGGGGGTAAGATAACATTACCAACAAAACCGTGCAAAGGTGTTGTTACAAATCAACATTCAAGATTCTCACAAGTCCCTTTGCATCATAACAGAGACACTCTGTTTAAAGAAGATTTCAGCCTGAAGAAAGTAAAAGAGAGGTTCAATGAGCTCCAGGCAGAGAGTGAGGACAGCTGTCTGCTGCTGTCCTACCAGTGCCAAGAGGAGGGTGAGTCAGATAAGACTTTGGCCCTATGGAAGCTATCTCCTCATTAAATATCAAACATGGATTTATCTTGTCTGTTTGTGTGTCTGTACAGAAACTAGTAAATACGGGATATTGGAAGTAGACAGTGATCTTCACGTCCTCTGTATGAAGGAGAAACCTCTTTCTGCAGAGACACAGTCGAGGAGAGCAGTAAGTTCATCACACACACTACTGCGGGCCAGATGGAGCCAACAGAGCTTCAGGTCTTTCAAAAAAGGGTAGAGCCACCTGAACAATTAATGTTCCACATCAGAAGAATAAGATGTTATTGTTAACCTTTTTTTAGTAGCCTGATTTATCAAGATAATAAATGATATTTGTTCTTTGGTTTCACATTGCTGCAGGTCTCCCTTGAAAAAGAGATCTACAGTATAATCTCAATGGGACCAATCTGGATAAATAAAGGTTTGAAATGAAATGAAATCCTTTGCAGTGGTGGGCTAATGATTCAGACTCAGAGGCAAAGTCCCGCCCATCTACTTCCGACCCATGGGACCTTATTTCGGAAAAATTATGTATTGAAGTCAATGGGGAGAGAAAACGTATCTTTCGATCCCGTTTGAATTGTGCCACGAATTACACATGTGATGTTTGTCAATCTTAAAAAATTATTTCCATTTAAAAAAAGTCACTGTTTGTCGTAAAACTGTTGAAATATAAGACTATGAAAAATACGCAACTAGAAAGACTACAAATCCCAGAATCCCGGTCCCGCATGCTGGCTCTTACGGAACCGACTAACTCCCCTTGTGTGTGTGTACAGCTCTCAACATGCCCAGACTTGTAGTGATTTTCACCTCTTTTAATACTTTTCGCCTCATTCTGAAAGAAAGAAGTGAAATGTGCTAACGTGACGGCCGTCTTGGTGTGTGGTGCGAGACGGGAGATGTTCATTGAGCGGTTTCACACACAAAAAAGTGTTACTTCACAGTTTTACGACACATTTTTTTGACTTGCAAAATTATCTTTTAAATTGACAAACATCATATGTGTAATTCCTGGCACAATTCAAAAGGGATCGAAAAATAATCTTTCTCTCGCCATTGACTTCAATAACATACTTTTTCCGAAATAAGGTCCCATGGAGCTCCCCCGGAAGGGGAGGGACTTCGCCTCTCTATAGACGTAGGTGGTTTCCCAAATGATGCTCTTATTCACTTTAGTTGCTAGTCTATTTCCCCTTCAGCAAGACGAGTACATGTACAAATACATCTTTACGGGATACCCAGGGTAATGAAATTCCTTGAAAAATGAAGAAAAACCAGAGATTAAACATTTTCAACATGTGTAGTGTAGAAATCTATACTTGAGGTAATAATCTCCTTTTGTTTTTCAGTGTCCCTGTTTCTATATGTTTTCAAAGAAAAGCCTTCCTCTGTTGGAGAACTTCCTTGAAGAGAAGAAGGTATATGAAATAATAGAAAGTCTCACACGTGTGCCATGAATGAAGAATAAAGTGTTTGTTTTTTTACCATTTTGCTCCACTTTGTATTCCCACAGGAGGCTCCCATTGAAGAGAAAGATGCCCCAGGAAACTTTGTGTCCTGGCTCATTCCCAGGTAATGTGTGCTGCCCCCCCGAGGTTTTACTCCTCATAATATAGTATTCCTGCTTAGTGACTAGCAGCTGTTTTTCTTTCTTTGATTTATTAAGGTGTTTCTTTATGATCATTCTACATGTATGAACAGTTTTAATACATGTAGGATTTACTCAGCTAAAGCTAACACACTTCTTTTTTTTTACAGGTTCCTTGTCTGTGTATTTTTCAATAAACGAGACTGTTTTGTTTCTTTTTTTTTCCTATAGGAAGCCAGTATACATTCATGAGATTTCTGGGCGTTTTGATGTCGGAAACTTGCCGTCCTATATTGAATGTGACCTGTACTTCAGAGAAACACTTCAAGATGTCGAGTCTTACATGGTGTAGACTAGGAAACAGAGATGAACTGAAGCACCATATTTATTTTTGCCATGTTCAAAAATGATCCAAGACCAGCAGATAATCAATCAATATTCACATTCAATCAAGAATTGTAACTGTAAATGTCATTTTCCAATTAATATTTTCTATTAAAAATTGATTTTTAAAGTCTCTTCATTACACTTTACTACTTGAGTTTTTCTACTCAGTGAGGAGTCTTGTGCATTTGTCGGAGGCCTTCTCCCGGTGGTCCTCCATCTTTGCAATGCGGGATCCAAACTGCATGGCTCTCTTGGGCAGGACAGCTGATTGGCTGAGGCCCAGCTGTCTGGCTGCCAGTCTCAGCAGCAGTTTCTCCCCGACGCCTCGTGGGAGGGACAGGTCCGCCTTCTCCCACACAGGCAGAGAGTTCAGGTAGCTCACCACATCTTCATCCAAGTAGGGAAATCTGCAGGGAGAGGCAGTGGTCAGATACTAGGCTCTAAATGGGATTTCAACAAAGCGAACCGCTTCAACACGTGTATTTCGGTGTATTCACGGCATTCATTTTGTTATTCTACAGTATTGTTGTTTTATAGTTATTTTTTAATGTAACCCAATTTGTGTTCTTTGAAATTGAAAAGGATATTGCATTGTGTTTGTTATTTTCGTTGCAGTTGTATATGTCTCCTATTTATGGACATGCTTTTATTTTTGAAGGAGAGGCAGCGCTGTTGACAGGAAGTTGTTGTTGCTTTGGAAACAATGTGATGGAGAAAAGTAATATCTACATATTTGGTTTTGGTTTTTATTAGGATCCCCATTAGCACTAGCATGAGCATTGGCTATTCTTCCTGGGGTCCTCACCCACACAAAACATACATAATACAAACCAGAACAGAACAACTCATCATTTCATGAAAAGTGCATGGTAAGGAAGTGAAAGCAAAAACAAAACAGAAAAAAATAGTACATCCTGAGACTGACCAAGGCACAC